CCCCCTCCCCTTTAATCTTATTTACTCATCTTTTTACAGGGAACATTACACTAACATATCATATAGTAGTACATAGTTTATGATATAGGTTTATTGTCTATTTTATGGAAGTAACGTCTTACCTGCGCCCACGGCAAATGAGCTGTACTCCGCATACTTGAACGCGTTGTTGTTTCCCCACAAATCCACCTTAAGTGTAGTAGTGGCAAGCTGCGTGAGGCCGTGCAGCGTCTCCAAGCCGATGAAGTACTCACCGCTCGCGTCGCCGAAACCCGCTTTGTAGCCTAGACAACGGAACACAGAATATTGATGCTCTCTCTCTCTCTCTCTCTCTCTCTCTCTCTCTCTCACACACACACGCCCACACACAGACACACATATGAAAAACAAAGCAGACTCACCATATACAAAGGCCTATACAAAGAAACAGATGATTTATACATGCATATTTAAATGTGTGTGTGTGTGTGTGTGTGTGTGTGAGAGAGAGAGAGAGAGAGAGAGAGAGAGTTAGAGAGTGAAAAAGGGAAGGAAACTGTAAAGGTGACACAGCACGTTTGCACTCACCCGCCCAGTTGTGTGAGTGAAAATTCACAGAGTCATCGTAACGTTTAAAGAACACCGTCCAGCCTCCCGGGGAGTCTGTCATATCACACCAAACCTTCACCACAGGCTGCGAGGGGTCCGGGCGGATCAAGTATTGCCCGTCCGTGGTGAAACCGCGGGAGTACAACTCACTACAGTCTGAAATGGATTATATTGATAATAAGGTTAAAAGATTACACTCCATCAATGCTGTACGTCGGGTGTATGTTGTGTATGCTGTATGTTGTTAGTCGGGTGAGACAGGGGTGGGGGGGGGTATTGTCTGAAATTTTGGTTCAAAGGTCTTGAAAGAACTCTCCACTTTAGGTGTCTTCAATTTTTTGCATTTCCACAAGTGTACAAATTGTAGGCTTTTCCCAGACCTCTCCTCCACTCTTTAAGAGAGTACAAGGTGATATGCTAAAAACGATGACCTCTGACAGCAATTTGGATCATTATTTTTACTATTTTTCTAAAGGTTACGGAGGGCATTGACCCCCCCTCAGCGTGAGCTTTGTAAACTTGTGAAAACGATGATAAAATAGATGACCCCTTACCAACCTTATTATCAAACTGATACTTAATCTCAAATTTCAGTTGTAATCGTGACAAATCAGGATTCTTCTTCGTGCTGAAGAGTCCAAATTGTAATTTTCTTACTTAAAATTCCCGACAACAGGGGTGAATTGTAAATACAAACGCAGTTGAACAGTGATACTTTTCACGGACTAATTTTTTTTGGGGGTCAACAACATCAGATTAGGCCAATTTCAAACGAAATATCTTTGGTGGCCCTTCTGCCGGCCATGTCCAGTAATCATTTTTTGCCTCACCCACTAAAAATAAAAATTGGACGCAGGTTTTAACGAGCACTTGTCTTGACTTACCTAAAGCATAGGACCATTTTGTCAAGGCATCACCCTGGAAAATATTAAACATCGTTTTATGTTTGATGAAAAAGGTATTTGATGCTGTTACATCATAAAATTTAAAATGGTGTTTTGCAAAGTCTGACCAACCCAAAAGAGACTGCCACGGAGAAGTTATTTGTTTCAAACGATTCAATACATTTTAAAAAGTACATAAATACATGTACCTATATGTATACCTATACGTATACTTTGTTTCAACTTGACACATAGAATTATTTGGATGACTGTACCATACAGGTTTTTGTATATAAAGATACATGTATGTATATAGATATATACGTTTGTGTTTCTCTCTCTCTCTCTCTCTCTCTCTCTCACCACATCAGTGAAATTTTCTGCCACAGTCCAGTTTGCCGCCACCTCTCCCACTGTTCCAACCACTCGGGTGTTACTGTAGGTAATACACTGACGAACTCCCTGGCCGCTGGCGATCGCCGAAACCGAACACAGTTCATGGTTTTCAGAACATTGCCGGGTACAGTCAGTCAAACTGGATGCCTCGGAGTCCTTCAGAACAGACAGAGAGGTCCCGCTGGCTAATCCTGTTGCCGAGAAGAGAAAGCGGTTGCTTTTTGCGCTCGAATCGCCAGTTGAGACGACTCGATGAAGCGACAAACCGATGAAGCACACGAGGACGATGACTCGCGCATTCATTGTGCTTAGTTTTACAACAAATATTGGGCGCTGATATCTTGAATTTTTAAAGGTTTAAAATTGAGCACTGTCCAGCAAACATCCAAACGTTCACTCCTCAAGGACCTCACAGGGGAATAAAGCAACGATCGATATCTAACTGCAAATACACTTCGATCTCATTCGAACGCTCCTTAACGTTTTGTTGACATTAATGGAATGAACAGTAAAAAGACGCAATTAATATTCAGATATTACCCAACGCGAACCTAGCGTTCGATATAGAAAAATTGATCAACGCCTTACAATTTGGGGGGCATTTACCTTTAAGACAGACTGACCTCCCTTGGTAAAGTCTTAATGGTCTACCCACAAAGTTTACATGTATCTCGCAATATACAGTATATGCAAGCGAGGTAAATCCACTGAATTACTAGTAATTCCGTTTAAAATAAGGGCGTTGACACGAGTCTTTATAAGAAGGTGGAAAATGCAATTTTAAGGCGATGAGGAGTACATTTTTCTGCAAAACGCGTTTAGGGTCACGTCAGTTGGACGTCAGGCCTTATAAACGGATAAGGCGTTTACTAAGTGCGCATTCTCAACGAATTAAGCCAGGCTTTACAAAGCCGGTGACCTAAAAATGGCGGAGGTACATGAAAGAAAAACCGCCTAATCTTTTAATAGTCTCTCCGCCTCCCCACTTGTCGTCCCTGCGGGGTACAGTAATTAAATCTCGGCTCCGTTCGCCATGCGGAAGCTACCTGAGAAATATTAAGTGCGCATGCTCATCAGTTAAACTCGTGGTGAAGAAAGCATGGCGGCTGAAGGCGATCGAAGGAAAAAAGCTCTTCTGTTCTATTATCTTTGAAAACAGAGACGAAAAAGGAATAATTTGGCCCGTAGAGCAGCAATGAATCGACTATCTACGGAGATAATATCACCAGAGATATTCACGGAAATATTAATGTTCGGAGCCGAGATTTAATTACTGTACCCCGCAGGGACGACGTGTGGGGAGGCGTGTGAGAGGCGGAGAGACTATTAAAAGATTAGGCGGTTTTTCTTTCATGTACGTCCGCCATTTTTAGGTCACCGGCTTTGTAAAGCCTGGCTTAATTCGTTGAGAATGCGCTCTTAGTAACACTACCGCAGATATTTTAGCACCAACACCCATATTAAACAGCACTACCAGAGCGGATGAATGCTAGTTATCGCTTTGTTGGTGCTAAATAATTGAACGGTGTGTTGGTTAATCCGTGGGTTTGGTAGTTAATATGGGCGTTAGTGTTAAATATCTGCGTGTAGTGTTAGTAAACGCCTAATCTATTTATAAGGCCTGGACGTACTGTAAACAAACTTAGATTCTTCGAGCGTTCGAAATACTGTCTTGTAATCAAAAAGATTAAAAGGGTCTATTGACTTGTTTAAGCAAAGGGTAATTTATCCATTTCCACGGGTTCGAACTCACAGCTTTCCGTATAAACAGTATGTACCGGTGCGAGAAAGTAGGGTTGACGACGACCGCTAGTTTTTACTTGCATAGTTACCAGGTCTTGGGGGTAAAGGGTTGAAATATATTTTCTCTTTTTCCTGGATAGAATGAGGTTATACCGTTGTACGAAGCAACAAAAAGTTTTACGAATATACTAAGATAAGAAATATATATGACAAGGCAGATAATAAACACAGATATATTGTAATGGTCAATACCTCCTGGGCCAGCGCGAAGTCACGGGTTAGAAGCATGAGGGTTAGATCTTTATAAAGAAGGCCCTAAACAAAGTTTTTCACCTACGCTTATTTGATCTGTTAGTTCACGGTCATTTTTGATCTGTTAGTCCACGGATGAACTTGTTCTGAATGCGCCCTAATTGGCTAATTAGGTTAGTCCAATGATGAACTTGTTCTGAATGCGCCCTAATTGGCTAATTAGGTTAGTCCAATGATGAACTTGTTCTGAATGCGTCCTAATTGGCTAATTAGGTTAGTCCAATGATGAACTTGTTCTGATTGCGTCCTAATTGGCTAATTAGGTTATACACGTACATCAGGAGGACTGACCAGACTCAATTTTCAGAGATCAATCAAAACTTTGATAACTAAGAAGAAAATAATTTTTATCTTTTAAAGTATTTGACCTGATGCAGTGCATTCTCCGCTGACATGACTATTTCAGTTGTGAATACAACGACCTTGAACTTGAGAATTTGATCTTGTTTCACCGTCATAAAGACCCATATCGAAACATTATCCATGCAAAGTGCTTATAAATGAGAAGTTAATATGTATTTACATTGTTTAATTAAAATTAACATTTTTCTAACCTGTGTATATTGTTAATGTGCCACTCGACGCTCCGTGATAAAAATTATAATTTTTTTACCGAGGCCGTTTCCGACCGCGCACCAAAGATTCATTATTCAGAACCCATTCCCTTGGGCCGCCGGGCCCTTTTAGACGGCCATAAAAGTCATTGGAATTTGTGAACAATTTAGACTATTTGTCATACAGTAAGGACATACTATGCATAATTCTAATACTTGGATTATCGAGCGGGAAGATGTGATGTCCAGTTCAAAAAAAAAAAAAAAAAAAAAACCAACAGCACACCACTATGAAGACAGCGGGGTGAATTATTAATCTCCAGAGAATCGAAATAAAATCGCGTTTTGACAACATTACCTTATTGCCCGCCACAAATTTTATCTTCTTCATTCACGCAAACCACTGTACCTGGACTGGTTTACAAGAACCTTGACCATTTCAATGCCAGTGATCCCTGTAGGAATTACCATATTGCTCCATATTGAATTTGGATATCTTTTACAAGCAACGACAAAATAGCTGATTTGAACATTTTATGTTTTAGACACATGTATAATCAGTTGTGTCGGTTGGTTATCAGTTGTGAAGTGTGATTTATAAATTATTATGCTACCTCTTCATTGTGCGGCTGTCATAAGCTAGGATCCTATCTTGGACCCTAGTCATAAGTTTAAAAAAACGCTGTCCAAGATGCTTTTGCACCGGAAATTCACTTATATTGATAGCAGTAGCACACTAAAATACCCTCCGCGCATTTGTAGCAATTTTACTTTAGTGCCTGTTTAATTGCATCTATCAAATCTGTCTAGTAATTAAACACAAGTCATCCGTCTATACGCCGTATACACCATATTCATCTTCAGGCTACCCGAATCTTTAATATAACTAATTCATTAACTAATTTATTATTTATTATTATTATTATTATTACCAAATTTGCAACCCGAGGGTTGGATAATTACAATCATTGCATCACAGTCGGATAAAACCATTAGTAAGTAAGAACAAAGGGATATTAAAAGACATATGTAAGCAAATTTAAAACAAAATATCTAAAATGCAAGGTTAAAAAAAAGAATAAAGGTCTATCAGTTAATTCTGAAACTTGTATATGGCACTTGTTAAAAAGTCACTCATTGATCGTTTGGTTTATTTTTGGTCTTTTAAAAGTTTCCTGTTCCCTCAATGATTAATTTAGCATTGTGTTTTGGTTGCAAGAGATAATACAGTCTATGATCCGGTTCATTTGATATACTAATAAACAATTTTTTGCATGCATTGATCCGTCTTTCACTCAGTAGTTCAAGTTTACTATGTTCACAAGCAGCGTCATATTCAAGTTCAGGATAAATTATCTTAAGAGCTCTTTCTTGAGACTTTTCTACTAAGGCATTCAATTCATTTGTTAATCCAAAGTGCCAGACAGGGGCAGCATATTCCAAAACTGGCCTTATGACCGTCTGGTAATAAGTTACTAGGTCATCAGTTGTAAGGCCTGCACGCTTAAGGTGCTGAAGGAATATAATCATAAGTTAACAATGTAAACCTAAAATTCTGCAGTTTACAAATGTAATTAGATGGATTCGATTTCGACTGACAAAAGGCGTCCGACATCTGGTCATGACGCAGGCGGACATTTCCTGTTTCCTGCGACATGTATGTGAATTAAGTCCAAAGGTGACATGCGTGACCTCTGCGTCTTTTAACTGGTCGAATCGATAAACGAAAATATGAATAAACTTTTCCCCAGATAAATCCAACGGTAAGGTATCATTACTATAGAATTGTGCTGAGATCACTGCCACGCACATAAAAAGGTAACCAATGTTTATAATGTTTCCCATCAAAATGCAGTACACGTGACTCAAAAGCGTTGTCTTTTTATGTTGACACTTAAGTCCCCTGAGAGTCACCATAGGCAGAAAAATGAACGAAGAAACACATAGATTCCTATAATAAAAATAATAATAATAATAATAATAATAATAATAATAATAATAATAATTAGGTAAAAGAAAAAGCCATTGGACAAGACACCTAGTGAAAGCTTCTTTTAACATGCCACTGTTTAAAAGATATGTCTTTAAGTCAAATTTGTGACTGGAAACGTAACTAACAGCTAGCTATTTTTAAAATGCACATTCTAAACAAAATATTATGCTCCAATTGATCCATACGTTGAAGTAACGCATAACCAAGTTGACTTCGACACCATGTAACAAATACATGTTTGTAGAAGTCGGCCCATAAGCTTTATAAGAAAACCATTAACTTTTTATGAGCTAGTGATTGAAAATGCAAGTCTTGGGTCGCTTCCGTAATTAAAATTTAAGTGTCACCCTGGGCAACTAAGACGTCCTTTTCCATTTACATAGAAAGGAAATAGAACGTGTTACAGTGGACAGAAGTATTGCCCTGAGGTAGCAAAGCAATAACGAAGGGCCTACGACGCTGCCAAGGAACCATAAAAAGAGGCAGAGCTCAAAGGTTTGCAATTAAAAATGGGTAGATATCACCGGAATCAGAAGCATATCCATTACCGGGGCCACACCGTTTTATTATACTAGCCCCGAAATTGAAACGTGAAACTGCATAAAAGTGGGATCGTATCACTTCAAAACACTTTGGGTGCAACGCGAAGATCAGAAGGTTCTTTAGTGTCTGGACCTGCAAGACACAGTCGAACGCTCTCGCGGAGGCCGAGAGGGAACTAAAGGATTAAGAGAAAGAAAGAGACAAAAGGCACATTGTTGTGATTAAGGTGTTTTACCTTCGGTTTTTTGAAGTTTCGGTGATATCTGTGAACATGGCTGCTTATCGTAATTCACTTTGGGCTTTACTTAGCGTCGGGTTGTTGCTCGCTGTGAGGGATGTGACGTCACAAGGTAGGTACAGCGCATTTTTCATGGAATGATGAGAAAGAGAGAGATATTTTAATTGAACAGAGATGTGCGAAGTCAACGAAGAAATAAAACCTTTTAAATGTAAAAATATGGGAAGTAGGGTCGAATAAAAAAATGTAAGTGTTGTAAAACAAAAAAAATCATTGATACCAAAATTGAAAGGATTAAGTATAATAGTCAAAAAAGAAAAGTAATGCATCATGAACAGTAAAATAAAAAGTTATTCTTGAAAAAAATTTAAGTACTTGAAGGATGGCATGAAGTGAATACATAAAAAAAAGACAAATGAACAACATATATATAGGAAAGTAAATCGATTCGAAGAAATATGTGTTTCTATCAGTGAATAAAACAGTAAAATTACTAAATAAACCGTCTTTAATCGCTTTTTAAAAATCACAAACAGGTACTGCGGTGGTCTCTACAAACAACGGTATGCAAATATTGGGAGGAACTGAACAACCGGGAGTGACGACTCAGGCGATGTGCACCATGAACTGTGGCGGGAATGGCAACTGTTTTGCCATTGACTTCGACACTGCGTAAGTAAAGTTATAACTTAGTGAAGTATTATCTTATTGATGATTATAGTGTGGTTTGGAACAATCGATTCCATTAAAAAACCCCTCACAGTTCTACCAAATAGACACTGCGATGTTGCCGTGATTTGTTGATCTGCATGTATAAAGACTGCAGACATAATTTTTTATGGTTGATGTGCCCGTGTAGCACAACGGCGTGGGTTCATATCATAATGCGAGTATCTGTTTGACAAAGAGAACAGTTTTTTCAGCAACATTCTGATACTCACTTAATGTTGTGTTCAATTTGCACCACGATGGGTCAACAAATTCCTTGAATTGTCAAATTGCAAGATCAAGTATATAAATACAGATGTGCTATTCTTTCACCACGTACCCAGCCTCAAGGTATATTTTCAGGCCCGTAGCCGGAGGGGGGGGGGGTTCGAAAGAACCGCCCTTTTCGTCAGGAAAAGATCTAATCTGGGGAAATTTTTATCTGTGTGCACTAAGGATTCATTGTAAAAGGTCCACTTTTTCGGAAAAAGAACCCCCCTTTTGAAATTGCAATTGTTGGCTACGGGCCTGATTTTTCTACTTTCAATCTGCAAACCAATTATACCATTTGTCAAATTAGATTATTAGAACAAATAAAGCATTCAATACCTAGGCGGCCGTGGAAAATGCCGTTGTTTAAATCAGTGTTAGGCCGTTGTCTGTTTTGTGGAAACACATCTATTCTTAATCCACCATTTTCTTGTAGAATTGGGTTGGGGTGGGGAAGGGGAGGCGGGTTCCGATTCTTTACCCTTATTTCACCTTTGGCATGTTTATTCATTCCTCCAATGCATACCGGGAAACAAGACGTATTAATCATATTGTCATCCTTATTTACTGCCTAACATACATTCTTTTGGGTAATAGATAAATCTCCAGTGTTCAGTGACTAAATTAATTAACATTTACACATATTTCTTCTTACGAGTGACGTCATAATTGCGATTTTGGGGTAAAAACTGAGCACCCGCGATCATCGTTTCAACGCCTGTTTAATGACACTATTTACTCCCCCAAAACCCTGTCAGCGATTTTTCTTAAACGTCTTAGTTCAGATTTTATCGTTGATAAAGCAGAATAATACCTTTGTTTAACGAAAGTCTGTAATCTCATAACTCCATAATAAAAATATTTAAACCAAACTGATGGCACGGGATAGTAGCCCATACAACTCTGCTACATTTCGTGATAAAATCTTGTTTAGGGATGAAATTACGCCCCATACCGATTGCTATCTCACCTCAAAACAGAAAGATGTTAAATTGACGATTAAAGCTTTCAATTCCCCACGCTTATACACTGCAATGAGAAATTTAAACGACGATATTTTATATTTTAGAGGGTTTTTTTATTGTTTTAAATCAGCACAAAGATGGATGCATTATTCAATAATCAGATGCAGGAAAAACCTATTTTCGGCATCTGGTTGATGATAAAGGGTTAAAATACCCCTTAGGCATTATTTTTGAGCACGGGTCTGTCTCGTCGCTTCTTTATTCATTTCTCATATATATTATATTTGATCTTATATCCTTTCAGAACGACTACCTGTTACTTCCATACGGCAGCAACTGCGTGTGGCATGCTCGTTGCGAACGCTAATGTCAACCATGTCAAGCTGACCACATGTCCAGGTACGTAAGGATAGCGAAGAGGGTTGAATATTTATGCGGAAATAAACACGTGCTTGATAGCACGTGATTTCATGGATGTGATTCATATCCGGAAAGGCCTATAGAACCTTTTTCATGATCTAAATCCACCTATCTTTTAATACATAATTTATTCAAATAACATAATTCTAGTTATGTCTGTAGGTAGCATAATGTAGGGGATAAGTGTTAGGCTCCTTAGGGAACATTTAGGTAGGTTGTACATGACCTAGTTTATTTAATTGGCTTGTTTTAGTTTTTTAATTACGTAGTTAACTTCCGTGTGCGCTCGGCATAAATACCCCCTGGCTGCAAGAGGAAGCACGTTAGACAATTAAGCTGATTCCACTGATTGCACGTAGCAAAAATTCCCCTCAGAGTTGGAGGGACCCAACTAGTACGATATGTCTATCTGAATGGGGTCTTAGGTGCTGGGAATTCTATTCTTCTCGCCCAATCATCGCATAAGCAATTTTATTACAAGTAATGAATTCCGTAGTGAGGTTGTGAAATGGCTTCCAGCTCACTTATGTGTCAGTCTTATACATTGAAGAAAAATTGAAGCCTGTATGTGTAAATGAGAATGATATAAATAGGCGATGGACGTAAAAGATAACTATTACTAGTTTATTTTATTTAATTTTCTTAACCTAAGAAAATAGTTTATCGAATGTTTTTTTTTCGTTTAAGTTCCAGGAACTGGAACCGGCGGTCCTGTTCTGACAGCCGCTTTGCAAGGTAAGACAAACTATGCTACTGTTATTAAGCTGCATTAGTAAATCCTATTAATATCGGATTAAAATATAACATTTATCATGAGATATTTCATTAACTTGTATTGTATTTTGAAATACCGGTTATTTCCTTTTAATTTGACAGATAAGACTACGCGTTAATGTATGTGTGTATGTCTATAATTAGGCCTTGCAATAAATCTTTCAGAAGAAATATAACATTTACCATCATATATCATTATCACATATCGCCCTTTGATTTGTACGAGTTCATTAAGACCAATGCTATATTTTTATGTTACCGTTGTAATATTCTATGGGCCATGCTAAGGTTATTCGACCTACTTCATAATTCGAATTTGGCATCATATTATTGTAGCCTGCCATTACGATCATCGCCTTGTTATAAAGATTAGACACTTATTTCTATTTTTTACTTATATTACATTTCAGCCATCCTCAGCCAATTGTTGCAGGCTGCTATTGCTATGCGTATGTATCACTACTCTCTCTCTCTCTCTCTCTCTCTCTCTCTCTCTCACACACACACACACAAACACAAAAGAATACACTGAATTGTCTCCCCTTTGCACAGGGGTTTTTATCTATCTTTTGCTTCTATTTTCCGGAAAACAATATTGCGTTTTTATGCCTTGATACTTTAAACTGGTTATTTAGTATTTGTTCTTGCATTCGAATGTCTGTTATCGGCGTACACTGAGGAACCGTAGTCAGGTGGTTTTGTTCACAAAAACTGACCCCGACTCTTCTGCTAAACCTTAACCTCTACGTATCATGTGGACCCCCCGTGATATATGTACGAGAGATTACCCTGTGATATAGCTTGATGTGGGGTAGGTTTTCCGTTGATATTGTACAGGTGAGCCTCGTCCTAGATTTCGACCCACCCTCGTTACTCTAACCGTGACCTGTGTGAATCTAACGAAGCTCGAACTCGGTACTCGGTCTCTTTTCACCGGACTCCTATTCCTGTGACGACCTTTCCGATCACACCTCTTTCACAAAATGCATTGAGAAAATCGAGAGTTGATTTAAAGGCCAAAAAATTGAATCAGTACAGTATATGTACAACAGAATGTTCAAATGAGAACCAAGACTCCATTTTACAATTTTGGATTATGAACATTTTTTAGTCTTATATATTCTCTGGTTTTTATGTCAAATATAATAACCGCGAATCCATTTTACAATTTTGGATTATGAACATTTTTTTAGTCTTATATTTCTTTGGTTTTTATGTCAAATATAATTACTTTTTATTAATTTATTTTCAGCCAACAATCCCATAATAGCGCCTCTCAGTAAGTTGTCCACGTTTTTAAAAATATTATTAGTAAATTCATCAGTTAATACGTTTTTAGAATGGCAAGAAATTTTGTCAGATTCCGTTTCTGTAGTCTTTAGTATTTTGTTTGTATTCAATTATTGGGAATTATTAAAGTACAAGCATATCTCAGCTGAAAGTTTGTTTTAACCCCTTGATTCTTGTGACAAACATTTATAACATATGAAATATTGATGTGGGTATGCTCACATCAGGGAAAGTGGTGCCCTCCCTTGCTATTCAACATTCGTAATGTAAGTCATTTAAAGGATTATTACAGCTAGGTCGGTTTCAGTCATTTTTGTGGTTGCCTGATCTGATTTCAAGTGAGTTTTTCCCCTTTATTTCAGTCAACTTGGTGCAAGCGTTGCGTAAGTAGAAACAACGTACAAACCAAGATTATGTTTATTAATGTTAGATAGTGTAATTTATTCTGTTCATGTCTTTTATGTGATAAAATGTATTTTCAATCAAAATTTTCGCTGATATTTCTGTCTCCATTCTTCCCGTTTTACGTCCTTCTGGTCGTTTTGATTGTTTTAGAAAATTATTGTTTTATCGCACAATTCAACCGCTTTCATTTGCATTGAGACAAATGAAATATAGGTACGATCTGCCGAAAAAAAAATACGAGTTCAATTTGTAACCATAAAACTTTCTTTTCCAGTCACTGGCGGTAACGTAATTGCTCCACGTAAGTAATGATTCAATCAACTTATTATGTTGTATTCAGTCTCACGGGCGCACAGCTCAAATACTCATCGAAATACTAACTTTCTGAATAGAAAGTTTCTTTAATTTGCACTTTCCTAGTCCAGTTATATTGTTGAGTATCTGTTTTATCATCCAATATATAGAAGGAAGGTTAAAAAACTGAGAGTTTAATTTTTTTTTGTTGTGGACATCAGTGTCATCCCAGCTGGCATAAAATTGTAGATTTAATGTTGAATCAGCGCCCAATTTATCAGACATGGGGAAACTGCCTGTCCGACATTTCATGGCTGTTTGAAATGCCAGAGGACCAGAAAAAAATAGATATCGCTGGTCTTTTGGACCAGCAAGGTTTAGGTGAAATACAATACATAAAAATGAATCACATGTAAACAAAGACTAAGGGAACCCTCCAGACCTTCATTATCTCCAAAAGTTTTTCCTTATCTCTACCAGGGCCACAGATAGATTTTGCGCTAGATATTCACACATATGTCTCCAGTTAACTTGTGGACATTTCTCCATGCTTAAAGAGAAAAGTGGACATCATTAATCTGAGGTCTTGGAAGAGGGTATGTTTTTTCCCATGTCTGAATTTATGCTCATTTACGACAGAGGAAACATCTTTTTGGAGCACGTAAAGCAAAATTTTGCCATTCTGCTGGTTTGATGCAAGGTTATGGAATTTAACTCCAGCTTTTGATTATATGTCGGTACTTCAACTTAGTCCCTCTTCAACATTAAATCAACAAAATCTTTTTAATATAAGCTGATCGTGAAATCAGTGTTGGCGCTTTGTGATCAACGTCAGATTTTAGCAAATTAATATGCAACGTTTGGCCAACGTTATTTGCAACGTTATTGGACAACGCACATCATAATTCCACCTGCAACCATTGTTATTCTTATTTCAATTTTTATTTTCTATTTACAGTAACTGCATTATCGCAGGCAATAAGTAAGTATCACAATTTCATTAAAATCTGGTAAAACATTAAACAAAAAATAATGATTTCAATATTGTATTTTCTTTAAAAATTAACTTACTCAATAAAGAGGGGTAAATGCTCCAATTTCACGAAACGTTTGTATAACGCATAATTTTAATGCTTTCTGCCTTTCGTTACCTTTTAGTTAACCTCAATATGACGCAACCAGGTAAGTTGAAATAAAAGAACCGATAGCATCGAGTAAGTAATTATTGTAAAATGATCGTAGATGTACACTGTAATATACCTCATCTAGTACTTAACGAATTTGAAGTGTGGTGTAACATGAAATTGAAAAAAAAAAAGATAAAAAAAAGAAAAAAGTGCATTTTGAAACATATTAGTGATGTTGTTATATTATTTATGATAAATCCAGCGCTTCCCGTCATCCCTGGTCTCCCCGGCTTCCCTGGCATCCCTGGCTTCCCTGGTGAGTGCAAGGCAAATGCAAAAAAAAAAAAACTTGTAAAAACGTTTTTGGTACACAATTTTCGAGTATTTGTAATATTAATATTCTTACTCCTAAAAGTATTTTGAAGTATCTTTTTAACGGTCATTTGTAGCATCTGCGTTATTACTGTATTTCAAGCAGTTGTTTAGTTGCCACATTCGGGTTCTCCGTTTAACTGAGAATACACTTGAATTGCATTAAGTTATCTAAAATGTTCCTTTTTCCTTAAAAGTCCTGCCACCAGTACCTTTTCCTGTTCCACCTGGAGGTAAGTTTATTTTTGCAATTTTGGTATGTAGGCTATGTATGTATGTATGTATGTATGTATGTTTGTATGTATGTATTTATGTATGTATGTATGTATGTATGTATTTATGTATGTATGTATGTATGTATTTATGTATGTATGTAGGCTATGTATGTATGTATGTATGTATGTATGTATGTATGTATGTAGGCTATGTATGTATGTATTTATGTATGTATGTATGTATGTATGTTTGTATGTATGTAGGCTATGTATGTATGTATTTATGTATGTATGTATGTAGGCTATGTGTGTGTGTATGTATATACACTCTTGTTCCAGGTTGTCCCACCGTTAGTCCTATGTACTTTTGTTTACAAATGATTGCACGACAGCTCTTAACCGTTTCGAATAGCGTTTTACTATTCCAAGTACCAAATTTAACATGACTAAACGGTTAAGAAAAGCTAAAATACCGGTGACAATATCTATAGGCTATTCTATACATATCCAGAACTTGCATCCCCTCAAGTGTAAAAAGACGCCACGGAATGTCATCAAATCTTTACACAACAATCATCAGAAGGTATTCTATATAATCCACGTGTCTATTAGCCTGTTTTACGGAGTACTGCACTTACATGTGTATCCCCTGTAGACGGCGCCACATGCCTCCAGCAATGGCTACGGGTCTGTATTGTGGGATATTGCCCCATTTCTCCTGAAGAGAAGTTGTTTCAGATAGTAAGGGGAATGGTTCTTTGCATTTGGATCCAAATCATCCCTCAGGTACTGACCCAGCAAACACATAGGGTTTTATAACGTTACCATAATGTTGGCGTTACATTTTTCGGTCATGTAAAACGTTATAGAAGTGTATATATTGATGCACCTTGAAAGATCTACACTATAGTGGTTATATACAATCCGAGCTTTCGGCCCCTGGGTAATCCCCGAAGAAGGCCCAGGGGCCGAAAGCTCGGATTGTATTTAACAACTATAATGTAGATCTTTCAAGGTGCATCAATATATACACTTCTATTTTTATCAAGATCTATATGGTGAACCAACATGAATCCTCAAAGCGTAAAACGTTATAGTAACCTTATAATAATGTTCTGTGTTTGATGGGCAATGGGGTTTGCATTCAAGCTCAAATATGGTTGTTCCCTCCTCAGAATATTGCGTTTCTGCAAAAAATCAATCACCAGACGAGAAAAGGGAGCAAACGCGTTATCATGGGGTGGTCTGTAATCATTTATGAAGTCACATCTTGCAAATGGAGTGAGATGTCGGGTAAATAGGTCACGACCACAGGTCTCAGAGAGAGCCCCTAGGCATGTTGTGAGATTTCTCTTGGAAGATTGTTTGTAAGGGTCTGGGTCCATCCACGTTTGAGGTGTATTTCATACCCATATTTTTTTTAATTGTTCATTCAGTCTAAAGAGCACAAACTGCTGATGGTGGATAAGATTGATGACATTCGGTGGCGTCTTCTAAATTTTTTGGCCATTTTTACTTCAATGTAAATCATTGTGGAAAACCATATTTGAGGAGGTGCAAGTTCTTAATTGGAATAAATGATGCAAAATATGGATATTTTCACCGGTATTTTAGCTTTTCTCAACCTGTGGAATTCAAAAACCTTATTTAAAACGGTCAATAGCTGCCACATGGTCATTTGTAACCAAGAGTACTTAGGACTAAAGGTCGGATCTTTTTGACCAAGTATGTATTTATGTATGTATGTATGTATGTATGTATGTAAAAACATAGTACTTAATGTGTGTGCATATCATAGTCATGCTTGTGTTATCATCTTTTATTTTTTCATGACCTTTCGTTTCATCGTTCCTTCCCTTAACCCACATCAACATATCCTTTGATGTATTATTATTCACAGCATTTAGGTATTAGGTATGTAAGTGTGTATAGACAGTTTTAACCTTGGTGCGCAGGCCAAATACATTTTCATACCATTTAAATCAAGAGAAAAACTAAAGTTTGTATATTGCCATAATAGAAAATTGTGAAATGTGTATTGCAGGTATCAATCAGTATCATCAAAAGGTGTTACTTTATTCGTCCAACGATTTGTGACTCTAGTTTACTGCAAAATATGAATGTTATTTGTTAATTTTATTCGAAACAAAAAAGTACTCACTAAAACTATTTGTATAATTTTTATTTTCAGTCCCTCCGTTTTTCGGTAAGTACTTGCACACTTTCTGAGATATCAGCACAAAATACCACAGTTTCTGTGTTGAATACGAATAAACTGAAGGAAAAATTGAACGTAACGCTTCATGTGAACAACAAGTAACATCCAGTTATAAATCCAATGATTAAAGGGACACTCCATGGGATTTTTCCGACAAAGTTAATATTTAGAGGTTCTCTGCACGTATGGTAAATCCCACACAGTCATATGCATGTCTTGTAAAGCTTCTTATATTGCCAAATTTAGACTCTAAAGACAAAAAACCGTGTAGATAATGTTTATCTGAAGCGTAGCTTGTGTCGTTAAGACCTTATGTTCCCCCATGCTGTAGCCATTGCCAGCTTGCAATGTCTGTATTATACAAGACAATGGGTCACGATACAAAACACCCCGCCATTTTCTTGTGTGAAAACGAGGCAATGCGCGTGATGGCAGATGTCGTTATAATGGCTGGTCAGTCAAATTAAAAGTGGATTAAAACATCGAATCCAAATACAGGGACGGGTCAAGTAATAGTTTGTGAGTAGAGAAAAATGGCCCTTTTCCCCATGAAAATCTATTTTAGCGGAAAAGTCCCATGGAGGTGACCTTGAACCTATTCAGGTTATCTGCAAAATATACGACATTTGTAAATATTTCTTTATGTCTGATATTGCTAATTGGAAGTTTTGATTCAATTTTGAAGAAAATACTAATCGCCGGAAAAGAACAATATTTTACAAGAAAAGTATTACGAGAACTTTTGCTGCATTGATGTATTACACAGTATAATCTCAGAACGCTTTTAGTGTTTGTTATTAGTGTTTGTTTTCTCTTTTAAACATTTTATTTTATGTTACTACTAGTTCAGTAAGAGTGCATCAGTACAAATTTCTGGCGGTGGCTTGGACAATCATTTGTCATTGTTTTGAACATTAACTTGTTGAAAAAAAAAATAACAGACCTAGCCGTCTTAAAAACGGTGTCACAGTGTCTGTTCTACATTACATGTGCATGGAACAATCTTCAGGGTATTTTTTTTATCATAGTCTTAGTGATATTCTGTATACCTTATACGGTAATCAATTGATTGTTTTGTCTTTGCACAGGTGGTAACCCAAATGTCCGTGAGTATTAATTTTATTATTATTATTATTATTATTATTATTTTCTCATCGTAAATGCTCAGAGCAGTGAACCTCGTATTACAGGTCTTTTTATTCATATATCACTACAGTGAATTTCAACTTAAAATGAATTTTTGTATAATTCTTCCAATGACAATACAAGAAAAATAATTTAAATTATAATTAATGCCAATAAATAAATAAATGAATAAATAAAAAAAGAAAGAAAATTCAACATATTGCAATAGAATTTATTTCTGTACCTTATGTATTTTAATTTTAGCGTTCCGGCCCACTCAGGCGCCCATCACGGCGCCAAGTACGCCATCCACCGCGACCACTACTACTACCCCGGCCACGACCACCACAACTGCTTCGGTAAGACCTACGTACCGTTACACCATTATGCCGTCTGAAGACTAAACTGTAACGTGTATAGATAAAACTATTGAAATCATCATTACATGACAGAACATGTAGCCTAGCAATTCTGGTAGACTATTTTTGTAAATCTTGCCACGTTTCGTCCGAATTGCAAAAGAGATGATTAATGAGACTATGGCCGCATTCACATCGAGTTGAGCCATGGCTCTACAAAGCCACGATCTAAATATGGCGGACGTACATGAAAGGAAAACCGCCTAATCTTTTAATAGTCTCTACGCCTCTCACACGCCTCCCCGTGTGTCGTCCCTGCGGGGGTACAGCCATTAAATCTCGGCTCCATTGGGACGACACATGGGGAGGCGTGTGAAAGGCGGAGAGACTATTAAAAGGTTAGGCGGTTTTCCTTTCATGTACGTCCGCCATATTTAGGTCGTGGCTTTGTAGAGCCATGGCTCAACTCGATGTGAATGCGGCCTATGATGTCATTAGTCAAATTGTTGCGAAATTCTTGCGAATTTATAGAATTGAACAACCCCTTTTCGATACAATTTACTTATGGATACTTTGGTTTGACGTATACAACAGGTCAATAAAAATCTATTTTATCTTTTTGACTTCAACGAAGTAAATCATTACCACATATAAATGGAAATTTAGATCGAGTGTTACTTTTTTCCCTTTCAGACATTGCCCATGTTCGTTTTCACGGACAATCCACAGCCTTTATCATGCCTGAGCAACTGCCGTCGACTACCAACGTCGTTCCAGAGCAGGTGTCAGGAACTGTGCATGAGGAAACGAAAATAATACGGATCTATGACAAAATACGGACAGCGACGGGCCATGTGGCAGATTTCATGAAAACACTTTTGGAAACTTAAAGCTACAAAAGAATTGCCATCACGAAACAAGCAAGACTTAAGTGGCCTGAGGGCCCACTGTATTCTATTTAGACCAACTTTGCACTTTATCATTGGAACTGATAGATTATTTGTATGACAAATTTAATTTTTGATCACTAACAATGGTGGTGGTGCGTTTATTATCAAGAAACATGTGAGACTTTCCTAAATTTTGTCATTGTTTAATATACACAAAAGTCGTACACTAGTTAGTTAACTCGTTCTACTAAATTCAACATAAACAAAAAGGTAAATGTGACAAACGCGTAATTTTCATGTCAGAGACGTGGTCGACATTGACAAATATGCCCTCGATATGCTCTCTACTAGGTCCTTTTTGTCATTAAGAGCTCCGGGGAAGACCAAAAAGCAAAGGGTCCATTTTACTCAAGGCGGTTGTTTTTATTTTGGGAATTTACTGTAACCATTTTTCACGCGTCACACTTGATATCCTCTCTGCCTTAGATCGCACTTAGGGAGGGTAATGAGAGTTTTAGTGATAAAAGTCTGAGAGAAAAATAATTAGATATGCTCGAACTTTAGTTCATCTATACGGATTTTGATATACCTTTCATTTTAACCGATAGAAGAGTATTTTAATGATGTTGTATATTTATAAAAATAACCTCTTGTAAGGGGTCCAATGTTGGAGCGTTGTTTATACGTTGAAAAGCTCAGGTTAGAGGGCACTAGTTGCAAGGGGCGGATTCAGGCTATCCAATTCATCACGAATAAAACAAGGAAACATTTTCATGACATCAAAAAAGAAAAAAAAACCGCAGCAGATTCTTTTCATTGTCCCTCTCTGCATTTAATGTAAAAATTCACGTGGAGGTATAATCTGCCTCTCAAACGTAACCACCTCAAATGTCATGTGATCAGGAAGCGTCTCCCTTTGATCAGAAAGGGCAAATCATCGCCGTAGTCATGTTTTCTGCTGAACTATCTTAAATTGGATTGTCCCCAGACCCCCTTCATGGGACAAGTTCATGACTCTAAGATTAAAAATATATATACATACAGCCTGAATCAGCCCCTTGTGTTGCGGTTCAAGACAGTTTAATACGCCATTTATACTTTAAACTATTACCTGTAACTTAATTAGGGTAGGGGTCATGTATCATTTACTAACACAATGGTAAAATGGGTGTCTTGTAATTATTTATTGATATGCACAATTTTATCTATTATAAAGAAATTTTTATTTTGAATGAACGACTGATATTTGTCGTTGTTCTTTTTTGTCATGGGTGTTTTTATGATTAATCGCGTTGTAATGGCCTTAATGAGAACAGCAATTAAAAGGGTGATTAGAGATTTCTAAATTCTTCCTAGTTCCATTTTCTGTACTTGAATATGAATGTTTTTTTAACACACCATATATGATTAAATGCAACTACGATGTCAATTCTAAAGGAATAAATACAAATGCAAAAAGCAAAGTTAAATGCAAAAATGTATTGAGTGCAAAAAGCAAAGACCATAGAAATTGAATTATTTTTTTCTTTTTGAAATTAAAGATTGTATGTTCCCTCAGAGCACTGTGGTCACTTGAAAACATATTGTGAAAGATTTGACGATAAAAATGGAGCAACTATTCTTGTTTTTTTAATGCCGAAAAAAAAGGTACAATAACAAATTTACAAAGTCGTTCTTTAAGTTAACAATTATGGCTAATGTTTGGTATTGTTTTACATTTCAAAACTAAATGAGTTCTCAAAGAGTGGTGCTTCCTTCTTCTTATGCCGATGTTTTTCCGTGAAACAATATATCCACAACAAATCTCCATAATCTCCATTCCTGCAAAGTTTTGTATTTCTCTCGCCTCCGTAATATGTGATCGTGGATTTTAACCCTGATATTTATTCATGTAGCATGAGGTCTTCTTTGAACAGTTATCTTGTTTACCTCATCCTGCAAGCTGCACGACCAATGCAAAGTTAATTCGCTGCACGGTTTAACAGCATAAAATACACCTGTCGTCCCTAACACAAGTCTTATGCGGGCCTCCACTTCGTGGTAATTTATAGGCGGCATCACTAGTGTCATCCATCCTTCTGTAACTCGGTCTAACCAAGAAGTTATAAAGTTATAACTTCTTGGTCTAACGAGATGCGCCATACCTGGCGGCTATCTGGGGCACATTTGTATCTCCTCTTGGAGTAGCAATTTGTTTTCTTTCTTCATTTGTGAACTACCGTATCACACCATGGTAGTAACTTGACAGCCAAAAGGGCGCGGGACTCTTTATGTACATAGATGAAAAATAATCGCATGAGTGAAATGTAGTAGTTGCGACAAGTTTGTGTTTGTTGACAGCAATACAACAGTGCAGTGCTTTTTCATTTGTAGCACGCTGCCACACACTGAAAAAATTGGAGATTTACATGCCCAAATTAATAAATCATTCGAAAAGGCTACATTTCAACGTTACAAAGGCAAAACAAAAAGCCTCGGGTGAGATTCGAACTCACGACCCCTGGTTTACGAGACCAGTGCTCTAACCACTGAGCTACAGAGGCGATGAAACGCAGGGAAACTGTCATACAACAAAGCCGCATCGGGGGAGCTCTCTCTCTCTCTCTCTCTCCCCTCCCCTCCCCACTCCCCCGTTCTACACCAGGAATGACTGACTCATCAATCCGTTCCTTCACAGAAGGATTTACATAATGCACTGCAGACCAAAGAAGTGAGTTCATATACGTGATGCAAACGATCCTAGACAAGTTGCACCATTTCTTTTTCTTTTTTCTTTTCTGCTTGAGAGGGAAAGAAAGGGGAGGGCGAGGGACCATGTGCAAGGACTTTCAATTTAACATCTTAATGATATCCTGGATTAGACAGTGTGTTCCCCCATTAAAGGAGTTCCCGCCCCATTTTAATAGACGTCACCTATATACTACTTGCCCGTGGCAATACTCCAGGTCCATGCGAGCTGGGTGGATTACAGCGGGCCAGTGCCCCTACCTTTACTTCGGAGGTACCCACATCACCTCTCTTCTCCACTTCTTCCTCCACCCCCCCGCCCCCCCCCAAAAAAAAACAGCATAACAATCGAAACGACAGAAGAAAACTGTCGTTTTTTCTATACACTATATATTCATATCATCGTCTACTTTCCTCGTTCACTGACTAATTCTTAGCAACCCTAGACAAATTTTAGTCCTCTGTGCCCTCCGCTTAGCAACATCCTTGATCTGACAGTGAAATTAATGTCTGTTATGTCTGCACTTTATTCTCTTTTGAATAAAGCCACTATTCCATATGGCCTAAGGTGATATAGGTAGTATTCCATTGCCCACATGTTGTTTGGACTCATGGTATTGAAACTGACAGCATGGTCGCTAATTGAATCGATTCCCTGTAATTGAAAATTAATATTATTGATATGAAATAGATGAACGATATACCTAAAAAAATGATCGATAGGAAACTTACAGTATCGCACCTGGGTTAAATTTACGAGGGAATCGATATTTATTTATCAATTTATTGATTTACTGATTGATTAACAAATCTTTTTTATTTATTTTGTGGATGATCTAAAGTAAGGGCAAATGAAACATAAAATGTAATAAAATAAAGTAAATAAATCAGCATGAAAAGTGAGACAGAGAACATAAGATGTCAACCAACTTTTCTCTGTTTTTCCCGGCTGAGCTTTCTGTACCACGCAGGATAAATCCCGCTAAAATGCATGTGGGGCGGGAAGTAGTGGAACCTGGTTCTGCCTAACTCATCCCTAGAGTCGCCGGAGTAGACACCTAACTGTGAGAGGCACATTTCAAACTCCATTTCTCCGCCATTCTGGTGGCAACTTTGTTGTTGTTTCCCGCCAATTATTACCAGCCTGCGCAACGTTTCCTTGCTAAAAACATAACCACCTTCTCCGCTGAAATATCCCTGTTCTAAAAACGCTTTCGAATGGTACCCAAAATACACAGGGTGACTAGAGTTTTTGGATGACAGGAAGTGACGTAGGTTTTCTACGATGACGTAAGTGTCGTCATCAGTGTTGATAAACCAGTCGGCATCTTTGAAATAGTTCTTATAGATGAAAGCATACGCATGGTATAGTTTGGGGACCAGTTGTCCTCCTTTTTCTGACACACTGACAGCTACCCCTTCTGGTTTGCCCTTCTGACCATCATATCGATGCCTTCGCTCTACTTGGCCAGTGTTTCGGTTTTTCTTTTGTACATTTGAATAACCATTTTGTTTTCTGTCCATTATAGTGTTTCCACTATCACCTTTAACAGCTACAGCAGGGTTAAGCAGTTTTAATTTATATTCCATTTGATTCATACGAACAGAAGAATCATTGTCTAGTGTTCCTGCTAACCTCCTCTTAAAGACACGATCACCGTGTATCCCCTTTGTCTCTGGAATACGATTCCTGCCTGGTTTAATGACGTCAATGACAGACACAGACATCGTTCCGTTGACGTCAGCGACATTAAGGATAAGGAACACGTTACATCTTTTCCCCCACGTATCCCTAGCCACCCTGATTTTAGTGTCCATGTCCCCCGTGGATGTTTTCACCCAGCATAATACACGAACTTTTTGATAGAGTTCTCTGGCTACTGTGTCATCATCTGAAAGAGATATGAATTCCATGACGTGATGCTGGTGTTGAGCATACGCAAGCGATGGTTGAGGGTGTGTGCTTACAACACAGCGCCCACATGTAGTTCCTTTCATTAAGTGTTGCGACCCTGACAGGAACATTAGGTACTAAAAACTTGGAAAAAATTAATCGGTGACACGTTTTTAAGAGCCCCCGGTACAAACGCCATACTTGCCAAACCCTAAACACACATGGGCCTACATGTACGCCACCTACTGTTAAACATCGGACATTCACTAGTATTCAAGCTCGTAGAAAGCTTATTTTCAGTAGTGAGCTAAGCACTTACAAAAAATATCATCCGACCCAGGGGTGCTCCCACAAAATCGCTGTCATTGTCCCCATGCTTGCTACACTATACTTTAAACACAATAATATCAGTGACAAACACGCCGTAAAACCTTCGAACACGTGGCTTACCGTCATGGTGTTGCTCGTCATTGAAATCCACCCTATCGGCTAGTGGCGCCACGTAGTGGCTGTCATCTGACATCCGTTTGAAAAGCCTGTCTTCAGAGTTTCGATTCAACACATATTCCTCATAATTCCGGTTCCTCTTTGATGGATTTAGATTGTGCGGTACAGCCGAGAAGAACGTGAAGACCATCAGACCAACATAAAACCCCAAAGCAAACATAAACATTTGTGAAAGACGCATATTATAGGCCTATTGTTTTCATGAATAGACTCTGTTTACATGTACCTCACATTCTAGAGCTTACTTACTGCGTTCCCCAGCGAACGTAAAATGTAGGTTTCGAGTCCATAATTATCTTATGTATTATTTAATGTATCTGCAGAGGGTGCCTCGTCCACTGAAACCCTCCATCTTGCAAACGTGTGAAACACGTGTGAATCATCCAAGTAAAGCTACGGTCTCACTTGATATCATTTGCGAACCCTCCATGCCTCTTGATTTAAATGCGTGATGTCAAAAAATACGGTTAATTTTCTTCGACTAGTACAGTAAGCAGTTCCAGGGTGCGAAATCAATGATTCTTCACTTTGTGTCTGTGCCAACCAAACTCAAAAACTGATTTGATAGCTATTGTGCAAATCTTCATACGTCTGATCATTTCCTCGTGGCTGACATGCTTTGGAATAACTCGGTTCCCTTAGATACACTTAAAATACGAGGTTCTGTTACCGGCGGGCGAACATATTGGGATGTCGAATTAAGTTCATGAAACTTTTAACGCCGCCATCTTGGTTAAATATTGTATCACCTGCCCACATAATGTTTTCACCAAAGAGAATTAACGAGCGCTCAAGCATCCATTAACCGTGTGCAAATCTGCTTTGGTAAGGAAATGCTTAAAGAGACAGTGCACACCTTTCATTTTTTTTCAAAGTGCCTTCTTTTTTTAATGGCGCAGTTCACTTGCATTAATAATTATTTCTACAAATATCCCACTGCAAGCATTAAAGTACCACCTCTGAGTAAAAAAAATCACCTATAAGTAGAAAACGTACATCGCTTCAATTTATTTGATTTGATCTATGGAGCAATATGGGCCCTCGTATTGTAAATGTTTAAAATGTTGATTCATTTTACCGGTCAACATGTGTGATGTACATGAACTTGTATGTGTAGCACCGACTTATTTTGCTTTTTATCATTCGATTCATTCATATGGTGTCTCTTTAAGAAAAGGTGGACATTTAAAATGCGCAAAGTACTTTCACGCGTTAAGATGCACATTTACCGCTATGGTCTGTTGGTTTTTAATGAAATACACCAAGTTTAGCATCAAAGAACCTGGAATGGATTTTGAATTCATAACACGTTTATCCCTGCACTACTAAATATGATCATCCTTTATTAATTTTATTCATACTTTTTGGGTTTTTATTCTGCCGTTCTACTCGTTTGCCCTATTCATCCGCTTATGCTTTTAGTATTCCATCAAACCTCCTCAAATAAACTTTATTAATTAGTTTTTTATCACAAAATTTGCTTAGATATATTTTTTTTACTTTTGGAAATTTTTATGCAAAATATTTGCGTGAATATTTATAAAATAAAAGCAAAATTAGGAAACACTACATACCAGTCTTTTGACAATCAAATTTGTACAAATGTTATGTGAGGCAAGCAGATGTGTGTGTGTGTGTGTGGGTGGGGGGGTGGGGGGGGGGCGTACCCGAAATACAGTTCGACAAATGTCAAACAATTATTGAAAGTTTGAATTAATTATTGAAAAATCAAATGTGTGAAGATGACATATGTGGAAAGTCAGATGTGCGTGTGCGCACGCATGCAATTTTCAATTAAATGAGGTTCGACAAATTTCAAACCCTAAAAAGGATGTTCGAAACAACTATCTATGCTTTATTTTAAACACCATTTAAAAGTGCAATACATGCATACAACGATAAAAGAAAAAATGTTCAGAGCGTAAATTGTTTAAAAAATGAACAGTTCCTCTGCAGTAACCTAAGCCACAAAATGTCTTATGACGGTATTCCGCTATTTTCGAACATTCTATGTCCTGATTAACTAAATTCAATATTTCCATTTTAACTTAATGTAAACCCCTCTTCTTTCCCTTAAGCTCTCAAAATAAAACTTCGCCTATGGGTATAAAATGCATCGCTTCGTCAACATCGTTCAGATCGTCTCACTATATATCGAGTTTGCTAACACGTTAAATTTGTACGACAGACAAACGAGGTAAGCTGTTTGTCTAATGAGTCATGTGGTATTTCAGTCAAACTTGACTTATTTCTGTGTCACAGTTAGTTGAAGATCGCAGGGTCTCTGCCATAGTTGAAGATGTTGGGGTTGCGGAACAGGTATACGCGCTGCTGGAGCTCTGCGTCACTTTAGGCGTGCTTGATCTAATGATACATTTCCAGTCTAGAAGTTCCTCCCAAACCCGCCTAGAGCAGACGACGGCTATGAAAATAAACAAGCCATCCAGGGTTGTTAGAATCACGAAGATATATTCCAAAGCAAGAATGCCAAGTCCTCCGGATAGAAATCCAAATATCCAGGTCGTCCCCATCAGTGCAAAGAGCCTCAGATAAGTTACAAAAGAGTGTTTGTTCTTTCTCATATTGAGCTTCAGGGACGTAGATAAAGCAGCGTGTAAGGACTTTGCAATCATCGCATACAGTATGATGTTGACAATAAGAACGACGCCGATAGGGGCCACTAAAAACAAGACGAGCGGGTAGATATTACTTATGTAGCAGGCGGGGCCTTGGTAGTTCGGCTTAAACTGGGGATCAATGTCGATGTAATCCAGAACAAGGCAAACTGCAACAATTCCGCCCGGGAGGAAAGTTGCGTAGCAGGCATAACCAAGGATAGTCTTGTTGGCCTCTGCCGAAACTTTCAAAGCCGCGGTGCTTCTGAAAGTCTTCCACAAGTCAACAGCGATGACGTTCATCCAGAAAAATGACGTCAGCAAGCTCCAGTGGAATAACACAGCTACCGCGATGCACGCGCTGACGTTACCACTTGAACTAGCAAATGGTCGAGCTAGGAAGAAAATTTTCCACATGACCAAAGAGCAACAAAGGCACAGTTGAAGTTTTCCTGGAAAAGTTTGAAACAGGCGTACAAACGGTTGCAAAGCTATGCGTATGAGCAAACAAAGAAGAGAGATAACAGTACAGACGATCGTCAGGATTCCGAGCACCCCCTTTGAATCATCTGCGACAGTTTCGTCCTCCCAATCTGAACCGACCACCGTAAAATTAAGCACATCTTGGCAGACGAGAATAGATCCATCCGTTTCGTAGTATGCATCGGATTCGTTAATCATTGTCATTGAGGGTAAGAGGACAATACTTCCGTTTTCTGTCGTGTTGTAACTATCGAAACGTACGCGCTCACAATCTGTTTCAGCAATGATCGACACTTCGTCGATGGTTTTGTCCCTAGTCAAAGCTTTATCTAACAAATACGGATCGTAATAGAGCGATAGAGAAATTGTGGAGTTGACAAAATCCACGTAGTATGCAAGAATATTACTGAATGTTTCATTTCGTGTTTCTTTTCTCCATTCCTCCTCAGTCTTTCTTAGATCGACAGTTTCGTCAAACTGCAGTTTAAATCTGTTGTGCACCTGAAACGAACCCCGCCCTTTACGAACAACTTCAAAACTGACTGCACCTCGCACTTTTTCTCCATAAAGACCAGCTACGAAATAACTAAGCGTATGTCCAAAATAATTCAGCTCAGTATTAGACGGAAAATATCGAAAACTAACATTTGTTTTCCAGTGGGTGTAAATATCCACGTCGTACAATACGACACCTAGGACGCACGTGCCTTTAATAAGAACATAGTCCCTCCGGCACTGGGATGGAATGCAAGATGAAGTCACCCCGTCCAGTGTGCATTTTGTGACGTCATTTGTCCCTTCGGCACGGACTCCAACTTGCACCTCCGAATCTTTACTGAAGTCCATGACAATCGAGAACGAGAAAGAACCAAAAGACGGCCTGTTACTGCCTGTCAAATCCTCAGAGTTACCGGGACTAATTATTTCATAGGTAATGTCAGGTAAAAAATCGCCGCCCCGTGGACAATGCATACTTATTAAGTTTTCATTATTGCATATAGCGCAGTATTCGTTCTGGTATGCCTTATCATGGGACTGTACGATGTTTTTGTACGTTTTGCACGCATCTCGTATCTGTGTTGAACAACTGCTCTCTGGCTGACAGTCAACAACTACTTCGCTGGAAATACAGCGTCTCATTTCAGATACATGTAGGACTAAGTCACACAAATTATGTTCGAAAGCCAGTAAAGGGTCTGTGACGTTGGCAACAAAATCACTGTCGTTCTGACAAATAAAGGAGGCGCTCCAAAAAGTATAATTTGTGACGTCATTACACCTAGCGCAGAACATGTTTGCGTAGTGGAGTTGGTTTGTGACGTCAGTGACGGGAATAACGTGTGTTACGACACTGCTGTTTGCAAAGCATTTTTTCTCCATCTCAGTCCCCTTCCACTGTGCCGAGCACCCTTTCCCCAAGACTAACCCGAACCCATATTCCGATGTCCTAACGCAGACTGGAACGGCCGCAGTCGCTGGGATAATCTTGGTCACATTAGAATTAGACTGGCACTGGTCGCCGTAGTCGTAACAACAGTCACCGTAAACTAAGCAGTTGGAGTCACAAGAACAGTCGTCACCACCTTGAGCTGCCTCCCCGCATCGTTGAAAACAGGAGTCGAATCGCGAGCATTTCCGTGCATCCCTTATGACCGTCTCCGCTTCTACAGAGCCGTTGCATAGGTCAATACTGCTCGGGTAGATATCATCCACATATCCAGGCTGACGTGGGTCTAGATCTGAGACAGAGGACCAGTCCTGTTCAGGCGGGAACATCGAGTGTGAAGATGAAACTGGTCTCCAAACTATGCACAGTTGAACCAGTAAGTAAATTGCGTTCATTGTATTGCTGTTTTTGTATTGCGCTAACCGAAAGAGCTTTGAACAACGTGACAGGTGCCCGGATACGCTGGTAGTGCTAAAAAGCCTCATCGTTGAATGTTTCTGAAATAGAAAAAACAACAGGACGCTGTGATAAATAGTCGATGGTAGATTGCTTCAAAAATGGAGGCGTGTGTGTGACATATGGTTTACCCCCCCTCCCAACACACACCTTACTGAATGTACCGCTTATCATTTTATTGTGGCACTTATCGCACTTATCGTCTCACGGGCTGTTGAGCCACTAATTAGGTGAAAATGAAGCGGATGCAAATGCGTCTATGTCGCCTTTGTTCTCAATGATACGTCGCCTGATCGTTATCGCAACCGGTGTATGGCTTGACATCAACATTCTTATATTAGACTGTTCAGACTATTCTCATAGGGTCTTCCAATATACACAAAAAGTGTAGTGAAAACTACACTTCTTGTGTATTAGAAGACTAAAATAAAATTATCATTATCATTAATGACAATTTAATAAATACCCGGTAAGTAGTCGAGACTAGATTGTGCAGAATCTTTCGTGGCACAAATATTTTCTGAAATTCAAAATTCAACCTTGCTCATATGTCTTGAATAGATTGATATTCACTATTCCTTACGACTGAGACAAAATTTAGAAAAAAATATTGACATTAGTACAATGAATTTTTCTGAGGCAGGTTCAGACAAAAAAAAAAAAGATGTCCACAGTATCCTGAACTGCGTATCCTACCTTTGCATGTCATGATCAGTATATACATAGATACGTACATGTTATTTGATGTGCCATGTGGTCGGCTTCTTGTCCAATGTTCATGTAACTGTAAGCTACATGTGGGCTTGTAACTGTAAGCTACATTTGGGGGGGGGGGGGGGCATATGCATTAGTCCATCAGTGGATGATGAGGTTACAACTTACAGTGTTCTTTTCGATACGCTGAGCAGTCTCCAAACCAAGGTTAAATCCAATCAAGTTATCCGATAGGTATCTTTGCCTCAATCGGCCGTCCAGATTATCGTTCCCTCTATATCTGTGTAGTTGTATCGCTACCTGCTGGCAACACCCGCACTGGTACACTCTCACTACCCATGCAAAAGCCTTTCGTGTACTTACCTATATGTTGCGTATTTCACATAAACGTTGCCTTTTGTATAGCCAGATAATAGTCACCAAGCCAAACAATGGGTTCATACTAACCTTTGTTCCTATTGGAGAACTAGTCGGCCCTATTATATACACCAGAACTTCTTGTTAGCAACAGGTTTTTGGTATTCGAATAAGTAATAGATAGACCCCGAGTCAGCGAGGGTTATGTGGCATACACGAGTGCATAGCACGAGTGGATGTCACATAACCCCCGCTGACGAGGGGTCTATCTTATTTAGACCACGGTCCATGAACGGGTTATAACGCATTCATGCGAGACGTGCGGTTATGCGAGTTACACCACGTCCGAGTCTTTTGTTCTTCACTTACACCGTGGTCTAAGTGTTGTTGCATAATAACATGTAAATGACGCTTAGAGGTCAGGTAAGGGCACCTCTGACCAGATTCGTCTTGACCTAGTTTATTGGGCCAGAAAGAACCCCCCCCCCCCTTTTTAAGAAAAAGGTCCATTCTGGGTACAATTTGATCTATGTACACAACTGTTTCATTATAGCAGGTCCACTTTTTCAGAAAAAGAACCCCTTTTAAATTTGCTGGCTACGGGCCTGGATGTAGAGGCTTGTTTCAAGTTATCTCTTAAGCTCAGGGTGGATTAGCGTTGTAGTTGGAGCGCCATTATGTACATTTCATAATATAACATGACAGCTTAAAAATATACACACTTCCTATTAACCTTTTTCATCTTTTGCGGAAATACGAAGTGCGCATGACAGGAACCGCGCGCCACAGGGGTCATGGTGGTCCTCTGCTGTTTCCAGCATGGCAATGCTAGGTGTAGATGATGTACAAGGTGCGCATATAAAAAGGTCGTATGAAGCGTGCATTGCTTTCTGTCAAACTAAAAAGGTGGCTGAAGCACAGAAATGCGTAAACTGTAGGCAAGAAACAGCTATTTGGACGGAGAATCAAGCAATTAAATATTTTCTTTCTCAGTTTAAATACGATGCGCTTTACAACTAGACTTCACCTAAGCGTCCGAGCCTTGGCTGCACTTTCAATAGTGATGACGAACTAAAGCTACGGAGTTCTTTTAAATGCTTCCGATAATAAAGATATGCGAAAGAGACTCGTTATTTTTTTATATATAAAATCAAAATAGCCAGTAGACTCGTACACAGCTTTCAAGAGTGTGGACAGGTGCGCAGGCCTACGTCTTCACAATTTTGTACATGTTGTATGCAAGCTGTGGCGATATCACCTCATGTACCGGCAGTGTCAATTCATTACGATTTTTATGTCTTGTTTGAAGGATATCTTAAGAGATTTTTAAAGTGATAAAATGAAAAGATTTCCTGCATTATTTGACTCGTAACTACTGTGTATACAGGTAAAACTGACACGCAGATCGTTCGTCGGTGAACTGATTAAATCGTTTGGTACCTGATAAGGCATCGGGTGTTACTTGTTCAATTGTTCGGTAAGGCGGGCGGCCACAACTACGACCTTTCCTCTGTAATTAAAACCTTTTAAGTGTTAAATAGGTGAGACAGGAATTCTCGACTCTTTCCCAGACGATAATTAAAGTTTACCGTGTCTTACTCTAGTATATGCACAAAATTTACGACAGGTAAAAAATGTCAGCCTTTCGGTCTGACAAGTATGAAAATTTTGTCAATCTGAAACAAAAACAAAATTACAGCAAGAGCCCAAATTATTTGATTTTTAAATGTTTTTATGCGTATTTTCATCGTTTTCAATCACAGACAATTAAAACATTCAAATAAAGTGTTTCCCACACATTTCATACTTTTCAACTATCTAAGACAGTTAAATATACGTAGGCCTACTTTAATACTAAGCATATTTGTATTACTTTACAAATACGTTGTTGGATTATGTTTATTATCCATTTTGTCTTTACCATACATTTATTATGTACATGTAGCTTATATGCCCATTGAATTTTCCAATTCTCTTGTCATTGAGTTCAGAAATAAATAACTTTTTATTTCGCCGATAACGCGTTCAACAAGAGCCGATGTACTTTCTTCTTCGTATGTCTCTGTTGATCTTGATAATATAAGCCCTGTTTGTACAAATCAGTAATACGTATACGGGACTGAATACATAATAATAAAAATTTTATTCTCACGTCTCAGTCTCACGTTAAAAAAATAGAACCCACCCTGCTAAGGGTTATTAGAGACTAAAACCTGTGATGGGCCTACACCATTTAAAATGATCACTTATCAATAAAACACACACAAAAAGGATATTACATACAAAACTTTTCAAACCTTCTCTTTGTTGTTACACAAAAAGTCGTGAAAGTTCTTGAATTTTTTGTAAGTAGAATCCCCGTGTAAAACTTCAAAGCTTTTACTTTCTTTTTCCATAATCTCATGCTTGAAGTCTTTTCTTAATTTTTAGGCCCCGACCTATTCTTCAAATTTTTCTTCAAATCTTTACAATTTTTTTTTTACCCCGAGTTCTATTTGCCGATAGTTCGTTTTATCCGTTGTTTAACTAAGCATTTCTGTTTTTTATTAAAGCACCGTTGATCTCCTAATATTATAGTTTTTCTTCCCGCCTTCGAAATGTTCAGCGCAAACGCGGTGCCCTGCTTTTGATCCAAACTTGCTATATTTTCCTTTCTTTCTACCATATTATTCATTCTAACGGGTTTGTTGGGAACTTATTAAACCTCATGTGTCGATCTCGCTTACTGTTATTGTAGTAGCAGGACAAAAAGCACGTAAACCCAGCCATGGTTTTAAGTACCGCTGTAAGTGTTTCGACGTAGCAGGGCTCCCCTACCCACAATGCAATTTCCATTTCCGGAAAAAGATGAAAAAGCGCTCTTCCTCCAGGGGCGACTCCCGTTGGCACTGCTCTGGCATTTAGGCATACTATCAAATGTTTGTACTCCGAAAAGTCGACTATACTGGGAACGGTATCATTTCTGAGTTTTCTCCTTACTTTTCCGCCACACAATTCTGCTCGACAAGGCTAAGATATATTATCTTTTAACCATCAGATTTTATTCATCTATTTGACTTTTGAAAACTGATTTTGCAGCAATTGTATTTATTTATTTGCTTAGTAATTTTATCAAATAGTTTTATCTAGATAATTATTGATTTGTAACAGACGACAGTAAGGGGAGAAAGCACATTTTATTAAAAGTAAGGCCAATGCAATGGACATTACGTAACAAACAATTAAAGGCCCTCTTCTAAAATAATAATAATAATAATAATAATAATAATAATAATAATAATAAAAAAGATTGGAGAGAAAAACAAAGACTTATGATCATTCAGTACTTTATTCATTATATACATTTTTTGGTTTAGTAACACCAATAATTAAAAACTACATGGATTAAGATACATAAACGGTATACTGTAAAATAACAGAGCACGGCACACACACTATTGTCGGGCGCAGAAGTCCATTATCCATGTTACGCAATTGGATTTGGCACTTTTTAAATGAATTTACATTTGTTCTACATTGTTAGACTATGTAGCATTGGTCAGGTTTCACCAACAACCGCTGTGTTAAAATGTTTATGTTGCGTTAAGCTTTCAAAGCTTAGTTGGCAAAAAAGGTCAAACATATGACTGGTAATAGTAAATGCACATATCGGTATACTAACACTCGACTGCGGTCGATATGATGATGATACTAGTGCTGTCATTCATGTACATATTTACGGAATACGTGTACACGGAGAAATACATGAGATATCACCGGAAATGTAAAATAAAATGTTATAAGGTATAAATATCCATATAGAGCTGTATACAAAAATATCCCCCCCCCCCCCAGTACAAAGAGCAATTGTTCAGTTTTAAAAGAAAGTACCTGTATATTATCTCAATTGAAATATTATTATTAATAATAATAATAATAATAATAATAATAATAATAGTAATCATCATCATCATCATTATTTTCTGTAGAGCTTAAAACTGATAGAAAACACCATATTTTGAGCAATGTTACATTTAAAGCCGACTTAAACTTGTGTCTTGTTTTAGTGAGAATTTCAAGGAATTGCTCTCCGATGGAGTGGGAGATTTTGGTGTCGGCGGAAGCTTATTACTTGAGCTAAGTGTCAAAGTGCGCGTGCTGGACCTAGTTATTATCTTCCGGTCTCGAAGATCCCGCCACACCCGCCTTGAGCAGACGACGGCTATGAATATAAGTAAGCCGTCCAAAGTTGTTAAAATAACGAAGATAAAGTTCAACGCGAGGACATTGAGTCCTCCGGAAAGGAAGCCAAATAGCCACGTTGTTCCCATCAGAGCAAAAAGTCTCACATAAATAAGAAAAGTGTGTTTGTTTCTTTTTGCCTTCAGTTTTCCCGCCTCAGAAATGGCGATGTGTATTGACCTTGCGATCATGGCAAAAAGAACGATATTCACAATAAGGATAACTCCGATAGGGGCCACGAGAAACAAGACAAGCGGGTAGATATTGCTAATGTAACAGGCGGGCCCCGAGTAATGCGGTTGGAACTGAGAATCTATGTCGACGTAGTCCAAAACCAGACAAAGAGCAACAATTCCGCCTGGCAATAAAGTTGCATAGCAGACATACCCAAAGATAGTTTTGTTGGACTCTGCCGATATTTGTAACGATGACGTGCGCCTAAAGGTCTTCCACAAATCAATAGCAATGACGTTCATCCAGAAAAACGACGCCAGTAAGCTCCAATGGAATAACGCAGCCACCGCGATGCACGCGCTGACGTCGCCACTTAAACTGGCAAATGGTCGAGCTAAGAAGAAAACTTTCCACAATACTAGAGAGAGGCAGAGAGATAGTTGAAGTTTTCCTGGGAAAGTTTGAAATAATGCAACAAACGGTTGCAGTGCAATTCGTATGAGTAAACAGACGAGAGAAATGGCAATGCAGACGATCGTCAGTATTCCTAGCGCTTCCTTCGAATCATCTCCTGAGAGATTATCCTGTGGATTTGAACTAACCGTGAAATTGAGCAGATTTCGGCAGACTAGAATAGATCCATTATTATCGTACAATACATCAGATTCATTTATAATCGTCATTGAAGGCAGCAGTATATTCCCATTTTCGGTCGTGTCGTAGCTATCGAAACGCACGCGTTCACAATCAGTTTCGGCAATGTGCAACACCTGGTCACTTGTGTTGGTGGCATTCATCAAATCACCTAACTCATAAGGATCATGATAGAGCGACAACGAAATTGTTGAGTTAACTAATGTCACGAATTGTCCAAGAACAGATCTAAATCTTTCAGTTCGCGTCACGTTGATCCACTCTTCCTTAATTTCATCGGCTTCAACGGTTTTGTTAAATTGCAATTTGAAGTCATTATGAATCAGGAAGGATTCTTTCTGTTTGCGAGCAGCCCCGAAAGTGACGAAACCATACACTGCCTCCCCATACATTTCACCTATTAAATTCGTGAGTATCTGTCCATAATTTTTCAGCTGAAAATCGTCCGTTATAAATATCGAAAGCGGATCGCTCGTTGCTTTCGGTTCCCACAGTGTATTCACATGCACGTCGTAGACTAAGACACCGAGGACGCATGCGCCATCCCTAAGAATATAATCCTTTCGGCATTGGGATGGGATACAGGATGACGTCACCTCGTCCAACGTGCACATTGTGACGTCATCATCTGTGCCTGAGCCGACTCCGACGTGAACTTCTGCATCTTGAGTAAAATCCATGACTATTGAGAACGAGAAAGAACCGAGTGAGGGCCTGTTGTTGCTTCCAGAGATTTCTACATCAGTACTTCCGGATACAACAGAATGTATTGGGGGTATGAAAGGGAACAAAATTTTTGCAGGGCAGGTCATGTCTGTCACGTTTTTACCATGGCAAATAGCGCAGTATTCATTTTGGTACTCCTTCCCCTGCACATCGACCACATTTTTGTACTTTTTGCACGCCTCTTGTATTTGTGTTGTACACGTGTTATTTGGGGGACATCTGTTCACTGTTCTGCCAGCCTGACAACGTCTCTTAGTCACACCCGGTGGAAAATGCAGTTTAAAATAACATGAGCGCTGTTTCAATATCTCTAAGGGATCTGTGATGTTTTTAAGAACTTCAAGTTCCTTTGAACATTCGTATGACGCATTCCAGAATCGGTAGTCTGTGACGTCATTACACTTGGCACAGAAAATGTTGGTGTAGTGCAGTCGGTTTGTGACGTCAGTGACGGGGATCTTATGCGATAAGGCAGTGCTGTGTGAGAGACACTTTGTCTCCATGTCAGTGCCTTGCCAATGCGGCAAGCATCCCTCACCTAGAAATAACACAAATTCATCTTGTGAAGTTTCAACACAAATAGGCACCGCGGCAATGACTGGCATGATTCTGATCACGCGGGAGTTGGACTGACAGATGCTGTCGTAGTCGTAGCAACAGTCACCATATGTTTTGCACACTTCGTCACAAGAGCAGTCTTCTCCCTGTGATGCAACCGCCCCGCACCGTCTCTGACAGGAGTACGACCGGTCGCATTTTAGGGCATTTGTCATGACGATGTTCTTTTGCAAGGTACCGCTACAAACGTCCGTGGCGTTGTAAAATTCAACAGGATCCCCCAAATTTGGCGGAGGCGGAGGAAGTAAATCCCATGAATTCAAGGAGGAAACTAACTTCCATGAAATGCATAACGGAATGAGAAAATACAACGAATTCATTTTGCCAAGGTAACTGGTGTGCATCTGTTGTGGCGGTTTTCGAAATTGCGACAGTTGAGACGGTTGTGCAGTATGTCAGTTGTGCTGCATTGCAGTATGTTGTGGTTTCACTTTTGTCATTGATTCATCTCAGTGCCTGAAAAGAACAAAATGTGCTGTGAGAAAACCTGCTCATAAACAACGTATTTAATATATATACATAATTAAATGCAAATACAAAACAAAATACTTAACAACCGATAAAAGAAAGGAATAAAATAGGACTAAAAAAAATCAGAGGACCAATTTTTCTCCCACGTCAGTATATGGACGGAATAAGGCGAAACGCCTACATCTTGCTTAATATACCACTTCATCTGAACCCCATTCATTAAAATTGCGATCAAAATCTCCATAATGGGGTATTTTGCGACAATGATTCGCCCACTTAATATGCTCTCTAAAGCACTACGGAATGACTCCTGTTAGATTGCTCGAAGCGTGTTGCTGTTATGGTAACTTACATAGTTAAAGTCACGTATTCATCACTAGACCATATCGCAATTACTCAGAGACTTTGTTTTTGAAGTTAACAGTCTCAAAAATGCTGCAGATGCCAACGGGCATATACTTTTCACTTGATTTCACTGTCAGTCTAATATTTACTATACAGGAGCACGCTTTGTGGTATCCACATTTTAAGAAATGTTATTTACAGTAGATCTGTAATAAATAAACGCCCAAGTGTCCAGGTGTAATTTAAAATGAAATATTTACCGTAGACACACTGAGATACCGCATAAATCACACTGTACCCAATTTCTTCTTTTTTTCCCCTTTTTTGACATTGTCATTTTTTTCTTTTAGCCTACCACGCCCGTGTTTTATGCAGACATTTATGACTTGCGTTTGTCAGACCAATATTTTTGGCCTGCGGTTAGATTTTGTTCGATTAACATTTCACACATAACAACGAAGACTGACGGCATTTCTATTAGTATGCATGTTCCTAATACGCCATAAGCACTATAATTATAATTGCAAACGGTAAATTACGATTACAAGAAGCATTCCTGAGGTTTCTTAAAGTTATCTAAGCAGTACATAATCGAGACGATCTGATGTACTTTGTGGGACGTGTATCTGTGACATGCTAGCAGTTTATAATTTTAATATATCTGCACCGTACTCTTAGCTGACGTTTTTTCCCTTAACTTCACGATTCCTCAATATTACGCTTTTTGTATAGTATTCTAGAATATAAGATGATATTAGTCTGTCAATTCATGTAAATCAAAAATATTGTTTTTCATCTTGTAATCACAGTCATCATTCTGTGTTGTGATCTTTAAACTAATGATGTTAATATATAAATCTTACAATGCTGCACTATAACTCACTGTTAGCCTTGAGTTAGTTTATCAGACACCATTTTTTAAAGCTGAGTCACGACATTGCGAGATTTTAATGGAGTTAAATGTTCAGATATCTTTATAAAAAACACCAGAGATTTTATTTAAAACAAAATAATACATGCGTGTGCCTGATTTTGTATTTCGAAAAGTATTATTCTTACCATAGAACTAAAGCCATCATTGTGTAACATATGTTCTTTAAAATAATCATGTTTCTAATTTTCTGCCATGTACAGTGTGAATAAAACTCATATAAGATTTAAGAATGAAAATAAATTATTTCACCACACGATGATGATGGAGGACACATTTTATAATTAGATCTATCTATTTTATAAATAAATGAAATTTCATTTACCGGCATCGACTAGGTTTAATCCTTTTTTGTAACAGCTGTGATATCGCGATCGGTTTCTCTAAGGTCCTCTTAACACCAACTTACTTAAGCGATCGATAAAACCTACACCAATGCACCTTGACAACGTAATAACCTGTCCAGTATGTAAGAGAATCACCAAAACGCACCCCTCCTCGCACTCGACGCGGGTAATTTATCAACATACGCCCAAACAGAGGGCAACGAAATTGTGAAAACGAGTAAAAAATTGTGTCGCAATTACATTTACTGACACGAGCCTTATCCGTTTTAACGTCAAAGTCCGCGATTTTTAATACAGTTCTGATCCTGAGTTTTGTCGCCCAGCCGTCTTAAAAACGGATGTAGATGTACAGTAAAGGAATGTAGCCAAAGACCACAACTAATGTTTTGTTTTTTTTTTGTTAAAAAAGCTGTGTAATGAAAAATAAAACGGAATTGATAGATGAAATGTATAATAGTAAAATTTTCAAGTTTCTGTTAATCCTGGCCCTGTTAAGGATCCTTTGTCATTCATTTCCAAGTGTATGTTGTGGAAAGCTTCCTCTCCTACTTAATCATACCATAAATGAGTTAATTTTGGACGGCCCATTTCGAAATCGAAATTCTGACGGTTCCTGAGATTGACTGATGTTGCAAAACTTATGAAATTTTTTCAAAAACACAGGCTCACGTCTGACCTTAGGACCCTCAAAGAAAATGACTATATACAGGCTATGTTGTTATTGTGTACCGCTTTATGTAAAATGGGCATTACTTTATTGTCGTTTCTACAGTCAGAAGAAGGGGGGTGTCTTCAGACATCTACACAGCAGACCTCAGCAGTGATATATTGTATAACGCGTCTTCTAAATGTAAGTAACTTATGACATATAATATAATACTTGTAGTGTCATTTGTAATCCACATTGTAGTACATGTATGACAGTAGGGGGGCTAGCTTAGAGAGGCAATGAATATTAACGCATTAAATGACCAATCAATCATTATTTTCATTAAATATGTGTAAATAAGATGTTTCAAAACGTAGGTGATGATAAACTGACCATGGCTTTGCGAGAGGACTTACCAAGAAACGGTCACCATTCTATCATGCGACTTTCTTCAATATATTTTCATATCCGCTTCATATGTAGCTATACTCCCGTTTTACATTAACATGGTCACTTGATCCGCTGTGGTTTTGTTTAGGTTATAAAGTTCAACTATGCCAGAAAGTCCTGACTCTTCTTTTCTCGTGATTTTTCCTGTCCGGTTATAAAATCCCTTGGTCCATATGTGCCTCTGCAATCTTCAATGCTCTTATTTGATAGAAAAAAAAAACCCCTCTCTGTCATAAGTCACTGGTGAATGTCACCTTTGAGTTTATTTCCTCCTTTTTGGTTAACCCATTGCGCACCCATGCAGGTTTATACGTCCGGCGCACACGGCAAGATATCAGCTGAACGACTGGACCTTTAGAGTTTCGGGCCATTAGCTTTGTTGATTCTTGACCTTGGGTACAAATTAAAATCTATAATTTATCCCCTTTCTTTCACGTCCAGAAATGCGGTCACAAAGCTTATACTGCGTCCACGCAACGCTGGAAGCTGAGCACGTATTTTGTCGTGTGTGTCGGGCCATAACTTGGCCTGTCATTTAATTTGCATTATTTTCCCATTTAATATAGGTCAACCGCATATCTTTTTTGAATCACTCTTACTCATGCTATAAGTTAGCTTCTGTCTCCACTCCTATTTTAGTGTGTGACTACGCGTTTATGGTGTAGAAATATGAGGACGGTACAGGCTTGGACACAGTGATACACTATAGTCCCATGTACTGTGTAACACGTCAATAAACACCAAATGTCTCCCAGTGAAATATTATCATCTTACATATACCCTTAGGTTCACTCAAAGTTTAGTTGAAAACTGACATCGCTCTTAAATTTTTCTGTCACCCTATGCACGCGGTAGAAACCAGGTAGAAACCAGGGGTTTGTGAGGGGTGTAGTTGGGGGGGGGGGGGGAAGGGGTGACGTACGGTTGCTGAGATATTTATGCCGATTTGTGTAGGCTATAGATGTTAGCCTTGTCTCCCTTTATGTCATTGTTGAAATTTTTTTCTTCTGTATTTTTATTTTTATTTAAGACGTTCTGAAGCATAGCTTCCCGAGCTAAGTGCCCCTTGGACCCCCACCCCCACCCCCACCCCTACCACCCCCACCACCATTCTGCCCGTTGCACGATATGAACTGATTAAGAAATTAAAGCAATTTAGAGAGCGCATTCCACTGCCCTTTTTATCTTATCCTGGCAGTTGGAGATACACAAATGAATAGAAAATGTTGTTTTTCTAAAAATTGGTCTTAAATGTTAGACTCCAAATTTAGTCTACTTCAGCTCGGGTTTTATTCACGTACTGGCTCGTCTACAAAGTTAAAGTAAGTACTGATGTTAATTATAAGCTAGGTCTCTTCTGTTATGGAACCTGTACAGCAGACGCAGGGTTCCATTTTATTGTACTACTACCGATTTTATTATGTGTCAAAGTGAACAGAATATCTGATATAAAACTTTGGGCCAGTTTGTCTGCCTCTTTTGTGAAACAGTCCCCCCACCCCCAGTGATAGCTTTTTTGGATTTACAATGATATTAATCAATGGCAGATTTAGGGGGTTCATTGGGGTCCTGACCCTCCACCCCCACCCCCTTCGATATCTGAAAAAATTCACACCAATTGTCCCCTTTTGCAATTAGAATTTTGACTAGCGGAATCATAGTTATAAACTGTATTAAATGACACCGTTCGCCCTCTAAAATACCAAAGTTTTTCGGGTACCTTCACCGGGCTCCGAACCCCACGTAAAGGGGGGGGGGGGGGGG